TGCACCGAACACTATCATACACTCAAAAGTTTGAGGGCTGATCGGGCTCACGCTCAATCATCAGTGACTTATTCTGGGAATTTAGGTCAAGGACCATAATGCAATTTCCTCCAAGCTGTTGGATGATAGTTTCTTATGTGAAAGTTTCCAGGGCTGCACTGACATGAAACACATCAGCATGACAGAAGTGGGGAAAGGTCAGCCTCATATATCTTGGGCCATCTGTCACAGAAACTTTGATGATTATTTATAAAATGCGTGTGATGTTTATAGGACCACTGCTTCAAAATGATCCTGTCTGCAGTACCTAAATGCTACTGGTACTAGAAAGACGGCTAGAATGAAAGATTTCCCACTGGTACTGACATTAATATAGCCACCATTAACATAGAGCCATAGCCTCCCCAATGTGCACAAAGGCCTTTGTTATCATCCTGTCCACAACCACAAACCTACCTGTGCCTAGTCTTGGAAGTGCCTGGACTGGTGTGTATTACCCAGCTGATAGAAGTAGAGTTATTTCAAAAGGGAAAGAGGTTTCATCTCTGAGCTTACTTCAATTAAGCCAAACACTGAGGCAACTGGATGAGGCAACCAGGTGAGGCATTCCTGGTCCTCTATAGATAAATGTGCCTGTTTTAAAGGTTCTTTCTTGTTGAACTCCATCTTCTCCCTAGTCTCAGAACAGAAGCTAGACAGTAGTTAGGGGGCTGTTTCAAAGCATTTATGTATATATCATGACTAAAAAAGTCAGAGTTATTTAATGATTGAATGTCTACTTTGCCTTTGAGGGGGAAAAAATTAGCTTTTTTTGCTGCATGATTCATCTTGCCTAGATAATTAAAGGATGGTTAATAAATATATCTGTTCATTAATGAGTGATCTTGGGAGGCAATCTTTGTACATTTCTTGCTGCATTAGAAAAAAAAGGCAAGACAAGAAAGGCTCATGCAAAGGCTTTAGGGAACCGTGCTGCCTTTGAAGGCTAAATATCCCTTTCCATTAAGTGCTAGACACTATGGGAGTGAACTGGCCTAGTTTAAATCAGATATATAGAGCAAACCTGATGCCCTGTGGTCTACACAGACTGTTTTAAATTTGAAATAGGGAAGTCCAGTTAATGACCAATTTATATGAAGAAAGAAATCATGAATATCCAGTTCAGTGGTCTGAGCATGTCTCTTCACACAGTGCCTCAAAGCTCATACTTACATAGTCGTTTACTGGCAATTCATCCATGATGTCCCTAGCTTGACGTACTGCATGAGCCTGTGTCTCTAGGGTGTCCTGCATTTTTACATCCTCTTCATCACTGAACGTAGCCTCTGGAACACAAAGAGACAGGCAAAGGGCTGTGCATCTAATATTAGTGTAGGCTACAGTTTAACAGTAATCTTCCTAGGGTAGACTTAATAGTGACAGTACGGATTCTCTACTAAAAAAGGTGAGTTTACTGCTTCCCAGTGCATTAACAATGTTAAACAAAGATGATGAGAAGTCTGAAATCCATCTTGTTAGTCATGACTTGCTTAATCTCTTGCTTTTGTTTGTACCAGATGACTGAAAATCATATGGTGGAAAGAGACAACATGGAAAAAAATCCAGATAAGAGCATCTGCTTCAAACGTCTGTTCACTTTTCAAGTTTACTGTATAACAAGGTCTTATAACAAGGTATTCTAGTGGTTTGGTGTAAAGGATACAGAGCTTAACTGGTACACTCCTAGTCCACTACTGATCCACTATAAGTACCTCCAAGAGGAGATAGGTGCATCCAGTGGATAGGCAGCTCTTGGCAGATTTCCCAGATCTTGGAGTTTTGCAAAAATGCTCTGTTACTGATAGGCTGCTTAGCAGGGATCCACACATAAGAGTCCACCACCTGCATATTCACCTCTCCAGGCTCACCAACCTGCAGACAGGTCATAAATTACACTTATTCTCAGCCTCTCTCTATAGGCCCAACCTGGATACACCTGTGGACTGTGCTTCATTCATTTATCCTACATTAAATAGACTAATTACCAGCAATGCCTGTAATATACCATTTAACTTCTGTAAGACTATAGCAGTTTTTTCCAGCACTATTCCATTTTTTAAATATCAAACATTTTAGTATCCCTTTTCCAGGTAGTACTTGCAATCTAATTGTGTTGGAAAAGGTAAAAGAAGTTTCTAAATTGATATTAATGCTGTTCTTTTGTTGGCTGGGAAGACATTATGCAGTTTAGCACTATGCAGACTGAGCAGTATTAACATATTTAATTTGTTGATATTGTAGTTGAGATATAAAGAACACTATTATCACTTAATAATGCACCTAATGAAGGAAGCCATGTCAGTTCTATCTAATGATGATATATGAAGCACTTTGTGTAATGTAATTCCATAAAATATTTACTTTCTTTTACTACTGTATATGTAAATACAAATCTAAAAAAATAGCCCCCCATTTCCTTAATTAGCCAAGAGAACAGAGGAAAGGCTCACATGACAAATGTTTTTACAAGGTGATTTCTTTTCAATCTAATGCTTAATTGCATATTAGTTAAGCTTGATGTAAGCTTGAGTCTTGGGGCTAAAGTTTGAGGTACCATTTATATTAGGTCACATTTCCCTTTCCTCTGTTCTTTTTCATCCCACTGCTTAGGCTCTATTAGTAGTCCTTTTTTGGTGCCCAATCTTGTTTGTTGTGAATTGACACTCCATATCAGTGTGGCAAGTTAGAAGCCACAGAAGTTCTTCTTTATTAAAAACACCATCCACTCTATCATCTTTTGACTCTTATCACCCCTCCTCTAACTCCTCACTTCCCAGCATCACACTCCCCAGCATCACACTACACTAATGATGACTCGGAGGACAGCTTGTGCAGAGCTGCAGAGGCTGCTGTTTTAAAGCTGAAATTAAAAGTAGCACAGTGGCACCCACAACCCCCAACCCCCAACCCCCACCTCTCTCCAACCACCCCCTTAATTGGGTCTCTTAACTGCTCAAGCAAAGCACACCGCCCTCACAAGTAAATAGAGGTTAGGCTGCTAGTCCTGCAACATGACTTTTACTTTATATTTGAGAAATTACACCAATAAACTCAAGGGGTGATTGTCTCTTGGGATTTAGGTACATTTTACATTTGCCTCATTTACATTTACATTTTGAATATCCCCTAATGGAAAGAGTAGTAATAAACATGCTCACCCTTGTCTAACCAGACCTCATGATAAATATACTCTCACTGTCAATGCTCAGAATAAAGTTTTATAGTTTATAATAGTTTATTGACTTATGGAATTAATAGCAAATAGATAAGGAGAAAACTGAGACATTGATGCACCGGCTCTGCCAAAACAGGACTATGATTTCATCAGTTGCATTTAGGCTGTGAGTGACTGGAGGGAAGCTCTGGGATTACTTCTTTCATCATTTCCTTGAATAAAATTTGGAATTTGTAAAAAATACTGGCAGAAAACTAGTCATATTTTTCACCTGGATGTATGTGGAGGCTGCTTTATTTTCTTATCAACAGTGTGCAGATTCTTCTTAGCCTGTATTGTTTTGCCGAGCTGCAGTGTGGTTGGGGAATGCAGCTGCCTGCCCTACAGACTGCACTAGCAGCTAATAATACTAGTGTTAATCCATACCTACTTTACAATTTCACCACCTCTCTCTCTTTGACACTATCTCTAGGTAGCTTTCTCTCTCCCACTCACTCACTCCGTCTCCCTTTCTTTTTCTCCCTGGTAGCACGTTGGCAGTTGATTCCTCCATGTTTTTGCCAAGTTTATTTTAGTCCTGGAAGATTAAGACTGGGTAGGAATGATAACTAATGCCATCATTGATTACCATTCCCTTAGAAAGTTCACACCTTAAGCATATTCCAACAAAATATTAATCTGTGTCCTAAATTAAATTAAGAGATCCTAGTTTAGTTTTAGAAGGATGTGTGCTGATAGTCAGTACAGTTTTCTGTAATTCTGCATGATCTCTCTCTCTTTCTCCCTGTCTCTCGCTCTCTCAATAAGACTGAACTGAAGTCTAATTAGGTTTCACAATGTGTGAAAAGAAGAAAATGGCAGCGACATATGGTGCTTGCTTCATAATTAGCATCTGTAAACATGGATTAGCCATTAAAAATATGAGCCAGAGAAATTGCATGCTGTTTTTGTCTATAATACCTTCTGCTCATAGAGTCAAAGAGGATATTTTGGGGCTTGACATGACAATGGATCTGCTTATCTTCACGACAGTATAGGAAGGTGCAAGGAGTTTCATTCCTCAGTGGTAAATGTGAACCTTGAGATGGCTGAGACTAAAACCATATCTGAAAGAGACTCCAATACAAAGCACACTGCCTGTTATTTTCAGTGCTACCAATAAATTGGCTGTCTGACTGATAGAATTTGAACATCACAGACAGCCATTAGGTCCCAAGAAGAAATGAATCACTTCAACCCTGAGTCAAGTGAAATTTACGGAGCAAACATCTTCAAATACCATTTTAATGGCTTACCTTTCTGAAGGACCTCACTCTTTCCTTAAGGCTATTTGGACTGAGCCTTCAGAGGAGATGATTAAAAATTAATATTAGCTCAGGATTGACAGCAAACACCATTTGATGTGTGCCACAAAGGGGTTATGGAATTGTGGACTTTCTGATGGTTTCATGTGCACTGGAGCCCCAAGTTTATACTTTTTTGAAAAATGCTAGAGGCAAGAAGAAGGGCGAAGAGTGGAGGTGTGTTTGAAGAAAGATGAGAAAAAGAGGGTGAGGATGATATAGACTAAATTTATTTTAGCATTTATTGGATCTGTTTCTGCATATTATTATTATTATTATTCTTGTACTTTCGGCTGCTCCCGTTAGGGGTCGCCACAGTGGATCATTGGTCCACATGTTGATTTGGCACAGGTATTACACTGGATGCCTGTCCTGACGCAACCCTCCCATTTTATTCAGGCTTGGGACCAGTACTGAGAGTACATTCCCAGGGGCTGGGTTGGTTTCCTGCCTGGGAATAGAACCTGGGCTGCTGCAGTGAGAGCACAGAATCCTTAGCCACTAGACCACCAGGGTGCTTATTATTATTCTTACTGCAAAAATTTATGTTTTTTGCCAGGAGCACATCAGCAGGTCCAATGCACCCAGAGCTGGCAGCCTTCAACATACCTCAAACTCTGCTTTCTTCAGGTCTACCTCAGCCAGTTTGGGCAGCTCCCTGGTCTGAGTCCTGATGTAGCATCTTTGATGTTTGGCAAAACGGATACCTGTCAGTCCCTTCACAAAATATAGTAAAATTAAGAAATATGGACATGGTTTTATTAGGCATTTAAAATGGGATAATCTGTGAAAAAAAAAGTGAAAAGTCATTATGGTCTCTTGATAGCAAATTCATACAAATTTGAACACAATTGTGGAAATAGATCAATCATTAGGGTTAGGCATGTGGTTCATATTAGTATTTTCATACCATTTCATTCAAATGGAATTGATTGAAATTATTCTTTTTGTATTTCTTGCATTTTTTTTTCTGTTTCAGATTGTTCACCACTGCCCTTTTTGGAGTATATCCTCTTTGTACAAGCTTTTATATATTTGTAGCATATATCTGTACTTTTGTTGGTTTATGCTTGCAAGTTATAGTATAGTATAATATCCAAGTTATATATCTACTTGCCTGTTTTATATTGTTCTGATTCTAATTCATCCATCCATCCATTCTTTTTTTTTTTAATCTTACCTTAGCTTGCTAAAATTGCTATGAATTTTACTTGAGTTTGTGTTGCCCCAAACCTACAAGAGTAAATAACAAACCTACAGAAACAATTTTCTATCCAACAGAAGCATGTCAGGGCAGCATTATTGCAGATAAACAAGCATCAGCTCAGTGAGGAGCTTTTTCCAGAGTGCCCCTCATGGCCTGTCATATAAAATTCATTCATTTTTCCTCATCTGAAAAGAGGAAAGCAATGATCTATATCTTTCAGGCACTGTGACATAATAGAAGATTATTACATTGTAATGTCTTTTATCTGTTTATAAAATAGTACAGTATAGTAAATAAAAGTTTTAATGATTAATTTTTTTTTTAACCATTTTTGAAATCATTTTTTGAAACCATGCATTGAAGTGAAAATCGTGCAAATGTCATATCCCTATAAACATTACCATAGGAACAGGAACAGTTTTAGGTATAATTCACAGGTATAACTACATGTGATGCATCTTGTGTGGATGTGTTGACTACGTTAATAATACTGCAGTAGGAGAATTTCCTCCTTATATACCAGTACTTCTGATACATCATGATGAGAAACTATACCTGGAATATAAAGATCATCACCGAAAGAAAAGTGGTAACAAATAACCAAAAAGTGTTGCATGCCACTTTCCAGATGAAGGGCTAGTTTTCTGAAGCTATGAGCAAATTGCTGTGTCTGGACATGCAGAAAATCAAGAAAACACACTTCCTTACAAGGATAACAACATGCAAAGCATTTGACCTAAGGAGCAGTGATAAAAATTTTTCATTAGTATGATTAAATATAGACACAAGGAAACAGCTTTCCATTCTGAACAATATGCTTTCAGTAAGTTGAGGTGTGAAGTTTTAATCACCTGCATTTCATTTGCATGCTTTTGTGTGGCACTGCCAGATCAGGTGTGAGAGAACACACATAATTTCCAAAAACAGATGAAATCCTAGTCTGAGAAAGCCTGATTACAAGTAACACTTATAAGTGTACTGATGTAGAAAACATTTCAGAACACAGTAATTATAGTGAAGGGATGCTCAGTCAGCCTGAATTATATTTGATATTTGTTCAGCAAATATTTGTGTATTTGTAAAATATTTAATGTTGAGCATTTTTCAATATGATTTTTCTTAGTGTCAAATATACTCTTATGTGTGCTTAATGCATTTTTTTTTTGCCTAAGGACAGTCTAATGGTAGTTTTTTAATTAATAAATATTTTTTTACACCTTTCAGAGATGTATAATACTGTTCATTTAAAAGAATAACTTCCTGTGATTTTGCGGATTTTAACATTATCGCAGGTGTTAAAGGAAAATAATCCAACATGGTCCAATAGGTAGCATACTTTAGCTACTGCAGTATTACCTTTTTATACGTACCCATAAACGTGTAAAGATAAAGGGTCCATCGGCTACATCCTGACTATGTACCATTTTTTTATAGCCTTAGCATGAAAAAATAGAAAAAAGTAGTGGTTTGTTTGAAAAAAGTGTTGTTTGGTTTAGCTTATGATTTCTGCTGCCCTAGAAATGTTAAACAGCCTGGATGCTTTGCATGAAAGTAATATTTGTCTGGAGTTTTATTATCTTGTATAGACCTCCATGTTTAGTCCCTATATAATAGCTTATTGCAGTACTGCTTTTCATAGCTTATGTCTGCTTCTCTTGTCAAAACCTTTCTGATTCCCCTGGTTACAGAAAGCCTGGGTTGCTTTCTGTTTTTACAGCCATATATTTTGAATGTATGGTTCTGAAAGAATAAAATCTCCTCTTTAACCATAGAGGCTAATTTGATCTTCCACGTGGTTTTTTTTTTTGTTGTTGTTATCGTTTTTTTGTTTGAACAAGCAACATATTACTATTACATATTAGGCCAACCACACTTACATTTTGAAAATCGTGGACCTCCAGGACCTCCTCACTGCCATTGCTCACTCTGAGGATTTCCAAATGTTTGGCAGGATTGATCTCCATCATGCTCTCGGTCTCCACACCATCCAACAGAGCCTTGTACTCATAATTGTAGATCTGCGGAAACCCATTGCTCAGTTTTCTGAACTAGTATACTCATTATACATTAAGGGCAAAAAAGGCAACTGGATCACTGCATTGTATAGAATAACACTATTTCCCACAGCTTTACAAAGTATATCTGCCATTATTAAGAACATAAATGTGCAACTGAAACTGCTTAAACATGATTTGTCCAACTGACAAAATCAGTGTCCTGCACTGCAGTAGCCCAGTGAGACTGATGAATAGTATTTAAGGTATTATCTATGTTTCTTTTTTAAACTGGAAAAAAGTAAATCATGAAAAAAATCTAACTGAATATATTTGCCTGAACAAAATTGTTGCTTCTTCATATATGCCTGAGTAGATTCAGTAAATACTGAATCACCTCTGCCATATATGGACCCCATAATTGCCATATATGGTCCTTTACAAGAACCAGTAGCCTGTTTGCAGTACTGCTTATTGTATTATACAACTTTTATGAATGTTTTGTCTAGGAAATAAAGAAATAAGATAAGTCAGCTATCTCCAATACCACATTGGTGAAGTCAAATTCCCACTGTGCTGTTCTACAAAATTTTGAATTGTGTCTTCCACATGGCCACTTGGAGACAACATTCAAGAAGCTCAACTACACTTCAATTCCTCAAAACTGAACGATTTTATAGCTACATTTGTGCAAACTATTACCCAAATTACTTTTGTAAAAACCTTTGATGGCACTACATTCCCTCATTTTTGTTGTCTTTTCTGTTGTAATATTTAGAAATATAAAATATTGCATTGTGAGTGACATGAATGCATATGTTTTGTTGGCCTTTCCAAAAGTGGTACACATTGCTAGCACTGGGCAAATAAAATCAACTGTACTAACGAGTACTGTGTGTACTAAATCTTCAAGCAAACCAAGATCAGTCATTGTCTGTACCATTCCAATCAATCTTTAGATGCGCCTTTTGCTCTGCTCATTGATTACGCTTTTCTGTATACACATTGTCAGGAGTAGTTCTAAATATACACACATATTTACACAAAAGAATAACTTGATAAATCACATTCTACGCACAGAAATGTATACACAGTTTATACATACGCACAGTTGATAAATGAGACCCCTGGATAATATTGGGGTGTTCAGGGCTACTTAGACAAATTTACACAAACAAAGTTAAAAAAGCAGTCAATTTAAATATGTTGTAGCTGATACATTGTAAAGATGGACAATCACTTGTACATGTCTTTGGCTGTCCATAACATTTAGAGTACCAAAAACATAAGAGAAAGTGCCTTCTTTTGTAATTTGTAAAGTTTGATTTCAATTTTCATCCTATGTCAACAGACTCAAAAATACATAAATAAATAAATTCACCAGGTTTTGCAACCTGAAACTGGATACAGATCTGTAGATGTCTAGACCATTTTTGTGTCCTGTTTTAGAGGAAAACATTTCTAAAAAATCTTATTATTACCTGCATCTGCCAAATGTCCTATGAGGAACATTATTAATACATTAGGCTTGAGGGCTTGTGTATGCCTTACAATGGATCAAAAGCCTGCTTTCTAAATCCTCTTTTTCTTTTATTTGCCTCCTCAGTCTCTCTATCACATTTTCCTTCTACTGCATTGGTACAGTTGTTGCACGCTCTATCTGACCCCACATTATTCTTTCATCACGGCTTTTCAATAGCAGCCTGACTGTGTGTTAAAGGAGTTTGATATTGTAAAGAAATGAGGACAAAGAAATTTAATTAGCTTTCAGTGTGCTTGCCTTTGAGAGATGAGGAAGATTGGAGAGAAAAAAACACAGAGAGTAGTGGTTCAAGGCAAATAGCTTAGAGAGATTTATTCATTAGTGCTCATGAGTATATCTATCGTGAGGATACCTTGAGTACTGTATTGTTTTGTGTGCCACCATGTTTACTGTTCAAATATCAGAGGTTCATTAGGCCAAGGGTGCTGATATTGTTTGCCTGTTGGATTTGAATAGCCCACATTTTGTAATTTAAGTATACACAAAATCTATAGATGGTCATCTGATAGGAAAATGTCTGTCATATCTATTAATGTTCAAAAATACTAAAGCTTTGGATTGAATTTGTTGGTTCTATAGCTGTAGGATGTAACTTTAATTTGAATAAACAGCTTTATTGAGACATTAGAGATAAAAAAAAGAACAAAAACATGGTGATTTTGTTCTGCCAGTTGCCATGGGAAGCCTAAAAATAATTTTCAACTTTAGAGTTGTCAGCTAGTATTTGGTGTGAGTTTTCAGAATCATGAGCTATACACAGTCATATGTCATT